GGATTTCCTTGACTATTTGGAGTAATTGCCTTGTGTTTGGGCTTGAATAATTCTTCTTGGTGAGCACTTTGCACCAAGACTGGTAGTGACTGTCATTAGGGGTCTGATGATGACAACGAAGGACAGCTCAGGGAACGCCTGAACGGTTTCCAGTAACTACCTCGTGTTTGGAATTAATTCATTTATATCAATAAAAACTTCGCACCTACATGAGTTACAATGAAGTTATGCAGTAAATCTGATGATGGAGCCGGAAGACCGTAGAGAGATCTCTTTGACTATTTAGAGTAATTATTTTGTGTTTGGGCTGGAATGATTCGCATTGGTGAGCACTTTGCACCTATATAGATTATGTAACTATGTTGAAGGTCTACAGTATACATTATGATGGAGACCATTGACAGTCGAGGGCATTCCTCAACAATTTACAGAACTGAACACTAAGGACTACTACTATTACCGTGATTTTCGGTCTCAAGTAGCCGTCGTCTTCTCATTCGAAACGCATTATCCTTGCTTGCTCTGCATATCACTTAAAATGGTGAAATGAAATAATTTTTAACAAAAAAATTAATTTTCTGTGTACAAAGTAATACATGTTTTCATTTAGGTAAATAGAAAATAATATTAATAACTAGGTATTTTTATAATCTCGAAGTCCGTGCCTATTAAGTACCAGGTACCAAGTAAAACAATGATGATTACTAGGTACCTAGGTATCAATACACGTTTCTAATACTGTTGTTGTTTGGTATGTAGCATTTACTTGGCACCTACTGCGAGATTATAAAAATAGTTATTATTATTATTTTCTATTTACCTAAATGAAAAAAAACAAACGACTTCAAAAAGTAAACAAAAACATAAAAAATAAATTTTCTGTGTACAAAGTTGTCTACTTCGTAGATTGTTAGAGTTATGTTTATGTTATTTCATATTATATATTAGTATGATTACTGACAATATGAATTAAGTTCAAACACGAAGTAGTTACTATAATCCGTTCAGGAGTTCCCTGAGCTGTCCTTCGTTCTCATCATCAGACCCTTAATGACAGTTACGAACGAGCCTGGTGCAAAGTGCCAATACGAATCATTCAAGCTCAAACACAAGGCAACTACTCCAAATAGTCAAGGAGATCCCTCGACTGTCTTCCAGCTCCAACATCAGGTCGACTTCGACCTTCGTCAAGTTATAGTGTTGTAAAAGACCTACTTAAACATCATACAAAAGAACTACTCGCCCCTGCAATTATTGAAAGTTCCCCTCGATTTCTCCAGAATTCCATCATCAGATTCTGACCTCATGTAAATGGGACCAAATGGCAGTTAAACCCTATCAAATAAAAAAAGAATTTCAAATCGGTCCAGTCGTCTTCGAGTAATCGGTGTACATACATAAAAAAAATACGCATCGAATTGAGCACTTACTCCTTTTTTGAAGTCGGCTAAAAATATAATTGATGTGTAAATAAGTATTGAAATGGATACTTACGTGTTAAAATACATTATATTAAGGTCTAGCGAGCACTGTCCCAAAAGTAGCTGAACAACATAAGCGTCAAAATTATATTAACACAGTGCAACATTAAAAATATACTTTGTTAACCTAATTTTGACTTTTCTGCTGTTTACTGACTTTTGATACAATGATGTTCAGCGACATTTGGATTGATGGTGTACAGCGACTTTAGGAATACTATAGTGCACAGATACTTTTGAATTAGTCGGGTTTAACGACTTTTGTAAATTTCTGATGTACAGGCTATTTTGTTTCCTAGTTGTGACTATAACTTATGGCATTTTATTGTGAACAGGTGTTTTGGAAAGTTGATTCTGTTCATCGACTTTTGGAGCTGACTGTACTTCACAAAATTGACAAGCCCGCCATAGCCTCACAAAACCGTTGCAACTCCTATAATATAATACAACCATGAAAACACCGAAACACTGAAGAGGGGCATGTGACATGTCTTGGATTTCGAAGAAAATTTATTATTTGAGGCAAAAAAAAACAAATATACTTAGGTACTTTAAGGAGAAAAATAAATCTATACCGCCAGCTTAGGTTTTCAGATTAGGTAATCAAACTTGTCCTAATTGTGTCTAAGAAAACATGGGCCGTAAACAAAACGTATTTCCCAATCTCGAGCACAAAATATCACAATAATTGAACAGAATGTACGCTGATACTTCACCACGTGTTTGTAAACAGTTAAATTAGATGTCAATCACGTATAACTCAATATCCCAGAGCGAGCAATAGTGACTTCAAACCTATAAATAAACAGCTGACGACAATTGCATTATTCACCAGATGACATGGTAAAACAAACAAGTAATGATACTTCCAAGACATTATTTAGTTTTATGATAAGACAAGAATATTGTTTTGAACTATGACAACTATTACAAAGATGTTGTAAGTATCAACCTTACTACACAAAAAATAAAGACTATAAAATTTATTGTTTACCGATCGAAATACTTCAGTATTGCCGGTAATAATTTTATCGCAGCGCACTCGGTCTTACACCTAATCATAGCCCAATTAGATAAATATTTTTCTTTATTGCTTACACGGAAGTGTCCGCAATATTTAAACAGATTCGATATTACGTGATTTATCGATTTCGTTTTTATTACTAAAGTATTAAAATAATCTGTATATTAGCCAATCAAAACATACATATTATTAGAAAAAGGTAAGTTCCTACTTAATCTATCTTTTTCATTGAACACAACTTTAGGCTTAAAAGATCTAGAAGAATACAAATATAATTGGCGATAACAATGGTGATGAATCCAAAAGAACAGTTCCATTTTCGAATTTTTTCGAACATTTGTTCCAAAAGATATCGAAAAGCCCAGTGGCATTTCCCACTCCATTTGCATTAATTGCACTAACAGAACCAGGAGTAGAAAAAACAGACAAGGTCAAAAGTTAAAACTTTTTAACGCTGAATAGCAGAATGTCTAACATTAACGTCGTATGTAAGTTTACTGCTGGAGTACAAGCGTCATATAATTATGAAGGTTTACAGTAATCTCAAATGAGGATGAGAGTTTAAAAGGGTCAGTATTATCAGATAACGCTAATGTCTGGTCTATGTCAAAGGAAAAGTCACTCAGTCGGCTTTTAGGAAATAGGCGGGAAAAATAGAGCTAGCATCAAAATGTCCTACCGAATATTTGAAAATTATTTTGAAACAAAATACAAGAGTTAAACGTGGTCTAGGCATACGTAGTGTAGGGCGCCCTCCGGCTAGGTGGACTGGCGATATCCGCAGGATGGCTGGCAGTTGTTGCATGAGAAGAGCTTAACATCAAGCTCAGTGGCTTGCAATTGGGGAGGCCTATGTCCAGGAACGGAATAAGGCTAATGATGACGCAAGTTAAACATTCAGTAATCAGAATCGTCACTTTAGCGTTTAGTGTCGTGCGAATAGTTCCGTTAAGAACAACCTACGCGATGTCAAGATTGTTTTACATGAATCAGTTTGCCCTTGATCTCTTAGACTTAAGCAGTTGAAGAAAAACACAATACACAATAATCATACACATATTTAATACAAGAGCTGTTGACGATGAAGTTACTGTCTGCAATTGTACCTAGTACTGAAAATACATACCTACCTAATTCTGCAATTTTTTCGCAATCATCTCTTTTCGTTAGGCATAAATTCTTATTTATAAGCAGTATATGCATTAGTTTACGCTAAGTAGCGTGTTACAGACACTTCAAATAACTATATTTGTTCTATGATTCATACTTTCATAGAAGTTTACCAATGCTATCTTGCAAATTCCAGACGCCAGTGGTAGGTAATTGGAAATAATATAGTAGCTTACACGTCTCATAGCATAAGAAGTGTAGGTAGGTATTTCCATCCACTCAAGTGTTTTAATAAGTGTATTAATTGCATTATAATGTTGATGACTTCATTATAATTGACGGCATCATTCCCATTAACTATGTTTTCGAAGATAGGCATACCTAAAATAAGGAATTTAGTGCCCATGACTTTAAAATGCTTATTCAGTAAATTCATCATTTCGTAATTTTCTATCCAATCCTGTTGGTTGGTTTGTGAAGTGTTTACCATAGATATGTATAAGTAATTTTTCCATGGTGTTCTTTTACTTACTACGTCTCATCTCAATATAATGATTAGAAACCCGAACTGTCAAGAAATGTTTGTGAGACAAGGACCTTCAAAAAATTATTGATTACCAGATTTGACTCTTATCTTGATAATTAATATATCTATGTACCTACATTACACCTGCAACATATTAACGTATTTGTTCAAAAGACCTCAACTGCATCGCATTCAAGGAATATTGACAAGGAATTGAACTAAGACACCGCAAAGGACTTTAAGACTCATGGACTTTTGCTCTCTCTGGTCACGAGAAATAAAGTTTGATCTCTGCAGCCATAGCCAGACTAATATATCCCTTATTGCAACCGTTACATTTTTATTAATAGTCATTACAATGACCAAAAAGTCGCAAATATTCAAATAATAATATTACAAAGTGCTGACGAAGGTAAGAATTTTAATTTTCCTTTCGTAACACAGCACACATTGACACTTTTATCTTGTTTGTATTCTTAATGAATCATCGTGAGATTTTTGTATGCATGACCAAAACCTGACTTCAAATCTATATTTAGTTGATTCTCATGAGTTTCTCATAATATTGTAGTCATTTTGTAAACTATAAGTAGTACACTACTCCATTGTTCATTGAACAGTTGTAAGTCGGTACCCAGTGTGAACTTTATTTTTCTATTTATTGATACACTGATAGCCTCTAGCTACAGCTATCAACAGAACTCATTATTTGGAACACACCGTTAGAAATGTAATTACAATACCAAAGTGAAAATAAATTCTCAAATAAATTCCTGAAATAAATTCTCAAGGTTGGCATTGAACGTATTCACAGGACCGAGCAAGTTTATAATACAAATATTGAACTTTGTTAACTTACCAAGAATTCCTGAGGTCCTTCAGGCCAGAGAAATTGATGCTGTTCGATCGGCTTAGACGCTTGCCCAGAGTCCAGAACCGAATCTTGTTGTGATTGTCCTCCTCATGGAAGGGGTTCAAATGTTCCGGGTAGTCGTAAATAGAGATAGTCTTACGAGGAGCAGTTGCTGTAGCCATATTTATGTCTCCTAGGAATTCACTTTTATGTTTTACATAATACACAGTACGTTAGGCGTCAACCACTTACTTTATCAGTTATCACACTGGTGAATTATCAAGAACTGATAGCGCGTTGTATGGTTTTATCGCGGCGAGATAATTACGGTGTTTGTTTTCGCGGCGTTGTGAGGCGAGAGATCGCCGGGCGTCGCGGCGCTCAGCGTCGTGGGCTGAGGCATACTAGCGGACTAGCCACCGCGGCACTCGAGGCGACTGCCCGCCGGCAGCGTCATCCAGCGACGCGATCGCACCACCGGCACCGAACATCGAGCACGCTATTCGATGCACCACCAACAATACTGCTTCACTGCACACCCGTTAACTGAACTTCACTTAAAAGAAAGTTGCTTCCATGCAATCAATAACTATTTATTCTTTAAACTACACAGTCAATTCCTGCACTACTTCATTCACAACTGCCAGAAAAGTCTGGAAGTCGATGACTGGCTATCAAAAGCGATTACTGGCATTTCGTAAGGACCGATGATTGGGTAATGTGTTAATGCCCTATAACATCCGGCTTCCATTTAAACTAGTATATATTTAGTGATAATATTTTAACAATACGATTACGACACGTGTCATAAGGTGGTTACCGTAAACAGTGAAGTATATTTGCTTAAGATGACGCCATCGAAGCAGAAGCCGCGTCACCTACAGCTCACGAAGGTCGCGTCAACTCCGGAAAATTTAATAGCGCCTTGAAATATTTACATTGCCTGGGCTACTTTAATAACTGTATGAAAATATTTTGGAATTGTTTGGTTTTAATTATTTTTTATGCACAACACACATTAGAAAATAGAAGTAGGAATGTATACAACTGCGTATTGTCCTTAATATGTTTCTTTTAAAATATCTTGCTGCAGGTTTTCTTTCATCAAATTAATACCTAAATGTGTTTTCAATAAAAAATATAACATATTCTGTGTATTGTATGCTGTCTTTGTCGTTTATAATTAACTGTGCCATGGTTATTCCAGTGAAAGATGGCTGATTCGAAACGCGCACGCGAGCATAGGGGCCACCACAACTAAAATACCACCACAAATGACCTGGCTTCGTGGTATTGATCCATTCCACGACGACGAAAAGGTGTTACACTATACATAAGTTCATAGTTATTTACGAAATTTTTCTTTTCTTTGGCATAAAGTCCAACAAGGCTAACGTTCGGACGAGGGTAAAGTTTTCACGGCAATTTGAATGCTACGGTCCCAATAGGTGATTGTAGCATTCGATTTATTATTTTATGGCTTCTAGACAATGATGATTAATATGAAGAGTATTAACACGAATAGTTTTTCAAATTGAACTTTCTATTTCTAGCATTAGGTTTCTAATCATTTCGTATCTATTAGTTACAATAGTAGAGTTTCATAGTAACTTATGCATTATTTGAATATCGATCACCGACTGTTGACGGACGAAGTAAAATGTTACAGAATTGGCTTAGCGCCTGCAATAAACATAAAAAGACTTAGTCATCATTCGCTTTTGTTCTTTGTTATTTTGTTAGTAATGCACTTTGAACAAAAGGTAGGTTAGGAACAGGAAAATTTTGTAATTCCTTTATGCATTACCTTTCAAACGTGGTATGTGGAACGACGGCGTTCGCTAGGGGTTTGATAAATTTAACCAATTAAAATTAAAATCAGATGTGAACAGTTAAAATCAGGTCTATTTATACAACAATTATGTAAGCACCTTCCAGTATTGCCCTTTGTCAAGGTTAATAATATAGCAAACAAATTGGAATATTCAGGTACACCTATACCCAAGTTCTATTATTTTCACAATCATTCCAAAAACGAAAATATCGGATTATACCCACATTCGCAGTTTGCAGAAGATAACAATTTAGTTCTGTATAATTAATGGACAGCTACAATGAAGGTCTTTATGCTGATCGCACATTTCCACGCAACTCTTGCATCAGATTTTAAGACCGCGGAAAAAAATAATCTATGTACTTATAACTGTGCTTGTCTATTGATCTAATTCCGAAATATTCATTCTTCCATTACGAAATATCTAATTGGCTTGTTGTTATTGCATCATCGTGACCAATATCGCTAACTAATTGACTAGGTCACTCGTTAACAAACAGTTATCTAAGTACCACTTTCTAGGCAATATGATGGAGCTCTATAAAATTGCGGTTTTATGCCTATAAAACTGCATCAGCTGGGTTAGTTTGTGGTCTGCGGGTGATAGTTTGCATTCCTTTACAGCGAGGACTTCCCAAGCTCCAATGTTAGTATTATTTGCTATCGGGATGATTTTATGGGAATGGAATGTGTTCGGAATATACCGAAAATAAGTCAATTATTTTTCTCTATCTTTGCTGCAGCAGCATTATAATACTGTTGAATAATTAAAAAATGGTCTCAATTTACTATTCCTACTTTTCGATGGAATAGAGTACCTATTCTAAGATTTTCATTAACATTTACCTATGTGTTTAGGTATATCCCACTATAGATACGCATATTAGTTAATATTATTTCCACGACTATTAGGTATAAAATTTATGTAAAGTATCAATTTAAAAACGACCTGAAATATGACTCGTCAAATTAACCAAATCAATTGAAGACGATCAATGAAAGACACAAAGAGAAAGCCTCTATAGGTACCTAGAGTTTGACATGTAATACTTGCAAAGGCGGTAAATATAATCGGACCGCGAAATTAGCAACTGGAGAAGTGTGCCGAACAATATACATTGCATAGTTTATTGAGTCTTAGAGATCTCTGTATGAAAGTTGCACATCTAGAACTGTTCGTGACCCATGTGATTTGGTACAATAAACTATAGTTTCGATTTTAGCTGTGACGGCCTTTAAATTCTACTCTCACTATTCATTCTTTTTCGAAAAAGTAGAAAATGTAAATACCTGTTTTGTTTCTTTAAATTTCTTTTCTTTTATGTTGACTGAACGCCGAATACATTGAACTGAATCCGCTCTAGCCAGACCATCAGAATTATCATGTGAGGAATTCACTACTTATGTACTTAATATTTTAGTGTTTAAAAAAATCATATAGGTATATCTGTGGATTGTCGTAGAAAAATAAAAAAATATCTTTATCTGTTTATGTACGTAATTTCAGTTGCATTCAGTGTTACCCACGCTTATGTTGAATGCAACCTTCACTCGATTTTGCTGAATGCTTGTTGCGTGCAAAAATATAAAAATTATGAATATTTTATAGGCACATCTAGGCACATCGTTATTTGCATAAGATGGCGGATGGTCGCGAAGATGTAATGACAAAATATGATGGCACGTGTAAATATGATTTGTATTGGCAGCGGCGGGCAGAGGAAGCAGCGACTTATCTCGGAAATTGCACAGAGGATGCGCCACTACAGGCGACATTGAGGTCCAATCAGACGGACCTCTGTTAAATGGTGAATGCGCAGTTTCTTTTGTACGTAAATGAGCAATGCCGCTTGAATTTCTTTGTACAATGTCCACTAGATGATTGTTCTTTGTTGCTTTATTTAAACTTTGGGACAGACAGAGGTTTTATTATTGTTATGTAGTTTATGGATCATCTTCTAGTAGACAAAGCATTGCGAACTAGATTAGTTACTTCCTCGCATAAAAATATAGGTGTGTGGGCCAATGCCGTGGATCATTTCGACCAAATAGTTTCCTTTTCCCCTGTACTTAATATACCTACTCCTTGGTTTCCCTAAGCGCTGTTACTATAGCAACTGCTATTGTTTGACGTGTTTTATCTGAGGGAAAGATAGATTGTTTGTAATAAAAGTGCCTTATTTTAATTTGATATTATTGCTAGTAGATTTAACATATTATATTTAGTTATCAACACAAACGGTCATGGCAACTCAGTCACCGCCTAATATTTCAGCTCGTATATTTTACGGACTAAGTACAGATATTCAGTAAGTACTAAAATATATAAATGTTAGTTTATTGATAATAATTTTGTTTTAGTGCATAGTAAACTGTGTTTATTTATTTGCAAGAGTATGTACAATCCAAGGTAACAAACAATAGATTCTCAGAGGACATAAGTACCTAGGTGACTGGTACCTAACACTACCGTGTTAATGATGGCTTGGTTAATTAGGATGCATTGCAATGAGATTTTTATTTCTATAAACATAATAAAACTCAGACAGATGACAATGAAATTATTATACTCAGTTTAATAAACCATGAACCTTTTTTTCTTTAACACACAGGTACAATGCACATTATTTGACTGAATCTGAAATTCTGTACCCGGCTGGTGGTGTGATCGTGATTCACAACCATCTCCAGAAGAAACAGAAGTTTATCAGACTCCAAGATAAACATAAACCTATCAAGTCTTTGGTTCTTGCTCCAAATAGGTAAGCAACGAAACATTTTTTTATAGAAACATTCAACGATTTTCAGAAGACGCCCAGCTCATAGTTGATTTACCTGGTAGAATGATGGTATCTAAGTTTGATATAGTGTAATGTCCGTATTTCAGACGATGGCTCGCTTTAAACGAGATTGCCGAAGAAGGGCAAAAGCCTATAATTACAATTTACGACCTTACCACGTACAAACGACGAAAGATTTTGACGGTACCCTTCGAGAACTCACAAGCGAGAGAATTCGCGTGTGTACAGTTTACCCATGACTCGAAATATCTTGTAGCTATTACGGGAGAACCAGACTGGTACTTGTATTATTACAACTGGGACAAGGGTAAGGTTGAGAGCCACGCTAAAGCGCAAAACCCTAGCGGTCAAGGCATTGTTTCGAGCGTAAGTAACTTTTTTACTTTTGTAATATTTCCTTATATAAAATATTATATGGATCGTTAATATAATTTCATCAGGTGCAATGTAATCCCACGGATGCTACCTTGGTCGTCATAACTGGACCATACACGTTTCGCATAATGAATGTTTCCGAAACGGTTTGGAGACAATGGGGATGGTGCAAGGCTGAAAACGTAAGATAAGACCCCTCCTCATAACTACAACTACATTTTGCGTTTAGTAATGTCTTCCACGATAGAACATTATATCATTGATATTACGGCGTAGTAAATAACATAATGGGCTTGTTCCACCTGCGTGTAGATCAACATAACTAGCTGCATGTGGCTGACGCCGGACCGCATCTTGTTCGGGACTGACAAAGGAATGATTATGATGGTTGAAAACGGGGAACTTCGACAGAACTGCGTGTTTCGAGCGTCAGAAGTTATGGAGATGTCGCTAAAGAAAGTAGAGGCAGAGTATGTAGCTTGTCTTTCTATAAAATGATCAAAAAATTTCCTCCTGAAGTTATATCTGAATTTAACGTTGGTTTTATTTTTTGTGTTCGTTCTGTTAGACAAGATCAACAAGAAGATAGAATGAGTACTTCAAGTAAGCAAGACTCGGCCAGTGACGACAACGATGAAGGAGAAAGCTATCCTGTAACATGCCTTGTGAATTTTGCCAAAGGTAATCTTTATAAACAAATTTTTTTTATAATTAGCCAGCCTAGACATCCTCTTTTAATGATATTTTATCCATTTCAAGGTTTTGTTTTTGCTTGCGGTCCGGGTTACGTGCATATGTTTGAAAAAGAGACACTTCATCATTGGAGAAAGAGAAACGTGTTTAGGATTTCAAAAAAATCTTACAAGTGCGTATCCAACAGCTTTTTCTTATTATTGCTAACAATTACATTCGGTAAACAAAACAAAGCAGTATAAATAAATTGTTTCATTTTTCTAAATAGACATACCCGAGAAAACCCGCTGTGGTCTAAGCTTGACGACATACAACACATTGCCATTGATCCTAATCAAGAAACTCTGCTTATTACAACGTTGAGGAAACAACTGTACTATGTCAAGTTATTTGGACAGCATATGTTGCAGGTAAACCCATAAACCATGATAAATGTGATCTTACGATATTAGATGTATTGCATACAATAGTTTAAGATATTTATTTATTTATTTATTATAAGGTACGCTCACAGCTTATGTATACAAGTGGTTGGTTATAGGCAGTTGGTCATATACATTAGCCAGTTACGAGCTAACCAATATTCTAAAAATTATGCGTTTATACAGTCAAAATATATAGAAATTAAACATAAATTAAATTTGATATGTTCCGGTACCTATCTGTATGTAGTATATTTTTCAGTACTGATTTCGTCTTTCAGAATCCAGAAATATCATTTACAGAACTGGGACCAGCAATGCATTATGGTCGGATAAACTCATTGTCAATGTGTGCTTGGAAACCAATATTTATGACGTCAGGAGAAATGGATAAGAGCATAAGGATTTGGAACTACATGACTGATGACGTGGAGATGATAAAGTTGTATCAGGAGGAAATCCATTGTGTGTCCTTACATCCCACTGGTAAGCTGATTAAGATGGTTTCTTTTCAGAGAACTTAAACAAACCGGATTCGACTTCAATAGGCATAAAATAAAAGTATAAAAATATAAACATACAAAAAATCTAATTACCTATGTTAAAAATGCTTTGTATTATTACTACATTATGCAGTAAGAATTTCTATAAATTATTTTCAGGTCTGTTTGCTATAGTTGGTTTCTCGGATAAACTACGTTTTATGGTGGTTTTGATAGACGACTTCGAAGTGATGAGAGAGTTTCCTATAAGGAATTGTAAACAAGCCAAGTTTAGTACGAACGGACAAATGTTTGCCGCTGTCAACGGTCAAGTCATTCAAGTGTTTTCTTCGGTGTCTTTTATGAACGTTTTCAATTTGAAAGGCCATAACGGGCGGGTCAGATGTTTTACCTTTAGTGCGATAAATTTATTATTTAATGTCAACAGAATAAGGACTAAGTTGGCTTAATTTATTATTTAGATTACGTGTCTGGCATGGTCAGCGAACGATTTAACAATGATATCTTGTGGCACCGAGGGCGCAGTGTACGAATGGAGCATGGTCACCGGACAAAGAGTCGGAGAAGTTATATTGAAAACTAATCAATTTTATGCATGTGCGGTAAACGGGTAAAAATTTCCAATAAGCATTTTAGTTAACTAATACAAATAATTAATATATTGAAAACAACCACTTACTGTCTTGAATTGACTGAGAATGATAGTAAATTGCGCGAACTCGCAGCGATGGTCACGCTGCTTATGAATATGTGTCTCGTTGTGGCTTAAAACTAGTAGAATTTTGCTCAGCTTTTTTATGAGTAAATGTTTACCAGTTTAATTGTTTCAGGAACGGCAAAACAATTTATGGTGTAGGGTCAGATGGGGAAATTAAAGAAATTGGTGCTAACACTATTAGAAGAAACATGGGACTAATTGGCGCTCCACTCGATACCGTGATATTATCACGGTCGGACTTGATGCTATTCATCAGTGGTGGCCTTGGAGGCATCACCTCCATACAGCTACCATTGCTAGACAAACCTATATTTAATGAGTTTCACATGCACAATAAGAAAGTAACCTGTATAGCACTTTCTTATGACGACCAGACCTTGGTATCAGTTGCCGAAGATGCTTCTATATGCGTATGGAGACTCACAAACGCTGATGGTAGAGCTATTGCTCTAGACAAGGACTTTGCATACTCAAAAGAAATATTAATCAGCAAGAGAGATCTACAAGAGAAAATAAACAACATAAATGTAAGTAGAAGTTTAATAGATTTGGAAGAAACAATATAATTCGAACATGACACACAAGTTTCTGTTCATACCTATTTTGATGCTTGCTTATTCATAAGAGCTACAGACAAAGCCTTTGTATGTAAATAGAGCGCAGTAGGTATCGATAATGAATTAAGCCCACTTATCGCGAATTCATTTCGAGTTAATGAAATGGTATAAGTAGCAAAATTGAAAGGAGAATTTTAGGTGCTAATTAATTGAATTTCTTTGCTCAGTTGTTGAGTACGCGCATGAATGAACTGGAAACGGAGCATACGTATCAACTACGACAAGCAGAAGCGACACAAGCAGAAAAACTGAAAGAGGTCCACGAAGGCTACTGCGCAGCTATCGAAGAACTTAAGGAAAAGAATGAGGTAGCCATTTATTTCCAGCTAAACCGTAACAAAATTAATTGATTATTCATCCTGAATTAACGTTTTAATTTACCATTACAGCAAATGGAAAACGAACACACTCACGAAATAGGCATGATTCAACAAGATATCGCGAAGTTGCGGTCAGGCCACGAGAGAACGTTGCAAGCTTTAGAAGCTGACTTCAATGTCAGACTCATTGGCGAGTATGACAGATACCAGGTAAAGTTGTTTACAATTTACATTTTAAATTATTTTCCAATAACTTTGTAGAAAAGAAGTGTTTTTTTTTACTTTTATACTACGGTATGAAAATAAAAAATGTTCTGAATCTTTAAATAAGTACTTAGTTACTAACGACCCATAATTATTTCATTAACAAGATTGGTTCCATCTACAGAGCCTTGAAGACAAGACGGCTAGAATGCGCAAAGATTACGAGCAGAGGCTTGAAGAACTAGCCGAAAGTAAACGACTCGCTCTCAGGGAAATGAATAAAATGTTCGAAGCAAAGTTGGAGGAGAAAGAGCTTATGTTGCAAGAGGTAGGCACGCGAAACTGAAACTAATTCCCAATAATTACATTGTCCCAAATCGTTGGAAATTGATTTGTGAAATTGTAATTATTGTGACAGCAGCGATATTTGGTAACCTAACTAGAGTTTATGCAAACGATACTTTTCTGATGAGTACCTACCTACACTTAATTTTGTTACGTTTATGTAATTTCCACAGTTACAAGAACAAGCAGATATGGAAAAAAAAGAACATGAGACTATTAAAACGTCTATCGAAGAAGATGCTGACCGTGAAATAATTGAAATCCGTACGGCATATGAAGTACAGCTGAAGGAAGAGAAGGACGCTAACGTGAGACTCAAAGGAGAAACAGGGCTCATGAAGAAAAAATTGATAAGCGCCAACAAAGATATTGATGAATTTAAACATCAAATATTACAACTAAAAGGTAGCTATAGATATATTACGGACTAGCTACTCTCACGAGGTTTATATTATAATAATAATTATAGCACTCAGGAACATTGTAGCTATCTATCAGTGAAAGAATTTTTGCAATCCAACCAGTGATTCCAAAGATTAGCCCCTACATACAAACTTACAAACATACAAACTTACAAATTTTACATCTTTATAATATTAGTATAGATTTAATAAATAATGAACTTTTGTATGTAATCACAACTTGTACGTTGTAGCTGAACACAAACAGTTTCAAGAAGTTATTTCAACACTAGAAAGGGATGTCGCCGATTTAAAGAAAGAAATCGGAGAAAGAGATAACTCGATACAAGACAAAGAGAAAAGAATTTACGATTTAAAACGAAAGAAACAGGAACTTGAGAAGTATAAGTTTGTATTAAACTTCAAGATCACAGAACTGAAAAATCAGGTAAGCAATGTTTCAAATATTTAACTTCTATTGATATAGTATCATTGGATTTTGAAAAGTAAAGAAATAAGGTTGAACTTATTAAAACGCTCACAACTTTACATGTAGATTGAGCCAAAAGAGATGCAAATACGAGAATTAACTCATCAAATTGATGATATGGAAAACGAGGAATTAAAACTGCTAAACATGAAACATGAACTTGGTATGAAATAGTAGGAGAAAATGAAGTAGTACGCATACGTAGGCTTGTTTCAGTATTTCCACTCATTGTTAAAATAATGGGAAAGAAGTTACAGCTGTGAATCATTTAAAAAATAATATCTTTGTACAACAGATAGACCCGTTAGAGCGCGAAATAAAAGCGAAAAAAGTCCGTATACTCGAGTTGGAAGTTTCGTTGGAAAGTCTTCTAAAGAGAAAAGCAATCCGCGGTAAAATATTGTCGTATTTCAGTTGTAATTTTTTCACCTATTTTGTAGATCGTACATTATTACACCTATATAAGTAGTTGATATCAAGTCGGTATTCACAATACTTAAAGTATAAATTTTAGCACCTACTTCATTCACAGTCACGTTAAAAATACTTGTGTAGTGCTAATTACTTAATGCCTGTACTGAAACGTAGATACTAGATAGACAAATCGTAGTATGTATGTATAAAGTTATAAAAATATTTAAAGATTTATGCTTGGTTATTTAATTTCTCTGTTTTTACTGCTACAGAGCTTAAAATTCAGCAGCTCAATGAAAAATTGGGCTCAGCTAAAAAGGACTTTATGGCCGAAGCAGAAAGAAACTTGACATTAAAAAATACGCTAAAGAAAATTAAGATTGATCTACACAACATGACGGCCGAATTCCAAGACCCGACTAAGTTAAAGTTGGCTGTGAAAGTGAGTAAACCTACTTATAATATATAAAATAAACTGTTTATATATGTATACATTATATGTCAAAAAGTTATTTTTACTTATGTACTAGGTAGGTTTGTAGGTCTTATTATTAGAATTGCTTAGGTACAAAATGGCGGTTGGTTCTGTTAGCGTTGGCGCATTGCAGAGGTGTGAGTGGTGTAATATGATTTGCAAATAATAACACATGTATGATGTGTTATATGGCGTAACTTGAATAATGTCTAGGTGTCATTTCAAGTTTTAGACAAGTCGACACAATTGTGGCTGTACACATTCCTTTACCATAACGTAATAGAATAGAATAACGCGTAACAACACAAAATGTATTGCCTACCTATGATGAATATTATAAGTAGTATCGTAAAAACAAATAACAAAAAAACTTTCTCCACAGGCCACACTAGGAAGCCTCTTAAAAAATAACCATTTTCTTTTCCTGTTACCTAGACCCTATTTCAAAAATACGTCGAGGACATTGATTTTGTCCGAAGCCGGATTGCGGATGACGAGGCAGTCCGTGAGTTCAATCGTCAGCGAGACCACTTGGAGAAGCAGGTGGCCGGCTTAAAGCAACAGCTGACCAAGGCTCTAGGTGGTTCTAAGAGCGACATCGGGAAGATTATGGACGTAAGTCGTTTAAAAACTTGAAAAAAAATGGTTGATTATTGAAGAAATCTCTATGAAATCCAGGTATTTGACGGGGTTTTTAAGAGGTGCAATTAAAAGGCATGCACTTTCATATACTTCACCTTTGAGTGGGTGTAGGTAGGAAATACAGAGCGCCATCAAATATAATCCTTAAAAACGTCCATTCGGCAAAGCTATACCTTATCCAGGTACGAAAATAAATATTGATTTTATACAGTTATAGTAGCTATTGGCTTTTCTAAAGAAGCCAATTCTTTAGAATTTGGCCCAGTAACCAACCTATGGCTTTTGTCTCTGTACTGATACAATATTTAATTTCTTACGTTACAACTTACCTAGATGTACTACTAACCGTAGTGCTCAGACTGGCTCCTCTTCCGAAGTGTGATGTTTATGTAGGTATGTAGGTATCTACATAAACATCAGATTACGGTTAGCAGGTCCCTTACAGAGCATAATAACATAATTCCTATGATATTTAAAGGAAAACTGCACATTGCTCACTGAGATTAACAATCTGCGTACCGAGTTGAAAACTACCCGTACGCGATGCTTTCAAATGGAGTCCATCTTGGGCCTGTCTGCGAGGTACATACCGCCTGCCACTGCACGGGCCAAGCTAAAGCAAGTTACCGAAGACAGGGAGAAACTTGATGAAGAGTTCAAGCAGAAGATTGAGGTAAAATAGATTCAGCATGAGTTTTCATTTTATAAGGTCGTAGTAAATTGGCTTGAATATGAATTTAAAATAAGACCAGGGGGCTAACCATGATGTTCAAAGTAAGATTGTTTTAATCTTACTTCAGTGTGGTTAAGAGACAGACCTAGACAACTTGTATAGCTCTTTGCCAGGCAGGCCAGTGCTAGTAGTCTTTAGTTTTTTGTATGAGATTGGTCGATAAACGAGCAGACCGATCAACTGATGCTAAGCAATCCATACTGCCCCTACAAGTGATTGTTAGGGATTTTACGATAAATCTCCTTTGGGGATTGAGGCTCCAGTAATCCCACTCACACGGCGAGACAAAATAAGAGCTGTTTCAAGCCGATATTATGTGAAATTAATTTCGCTAACCAAATTATGAAATTACCTATATTCTGCAAGCGGCGTGCCCAGTGCGGTGATAAAATGAATAAATTTACAAAATAACATTAATACACTAGTTACATGTTGTGCAGAGCCCAACTTGAGCCAAATTAAGTACATAACTATTACCTAATAATATAGATTACGTACTAATACATATCAACGATATCAGCAAATAAGTTTGTATCTGGACTTTGGACTATTGATTACGTGAGCACCAATATTTGCCTGTCCGAAAAAAAAATTGTTGGTGTTTATGAACGAATTGTAACTTTCTTATAGGAAAAAGAAGGCGTGATTACGGCATTGAAGCAAGAAAATGAGCGTTTACTTGATAAAGTAAGATGTATCCAAGAAGGCTTGCCGTCCGATTGCGAAAATAAGTAGAACATACTTGTAACATATTATTACTTGTTCGTAATGTTATGATTTGAATGTTCAATAAAATGTATTTTAAACTTGAGTATTTTTCAGACTTTTTATACCTATAAATATCTCAAGACGAAATTTTAACAAAGCTGTGCAGCCGTTCTCGAGTTTTAACGAGACGTTAAACTAAGATATACTTTTTTTCTACCTTTTTTGTAATTTTCAATAAATTAAGCACTAATTTAAGTTTTTAAGATATTCTAAGGATAGTATTACATAAATATAAACACTACAAATATAATAAAAACTTTATTAAACATAAATATCTGGTCTATCGTTGGGTATTTTAAACAGTAAAACTTGTTTAAAAGTTATAAAGTAAAAGCCCTATTTGATAACGTAAAAATTATTGCAAAAATATAAATTAATATTTTCTTAACGAAAACTGTATTTGATGCCATTGCATCAGGTCATTCAGAACATAAGCCATCACCCATAATTGTCTTAGCTAATACCCGCCCATAGAAATAAGACGTAGGAGTATACTTGTGACTAATGAGTCCTCGTCTAGCTAATTAACATTGAATGTCTATTTAGTATATATTTGGAATATCAAAACTTAATTTACTTATAGAATAAAAGGCAAGATAGCTCTACGTCCCTTGGGGTAGTCAGCGAATTCCTTCTTGTAGTTGCGGTGTTTCCCGATGGCCCATACTGCCATTTGATAGAAGCCGGCGGCAGCGAACAGACCAGCTAGAAAATATCAAGTTCATAATTAGGCTACGACATTAAAAACATATTAACGGCACAAAAACTCAAGTGTCGACAAATCGCGTTTGAATTGAAGGTTTGTTTTATATTCATAAATAATTAACATTCGTGACGTAACGCGCAGGTAATATATACGAAGAGGAACACAAAGTTCAAAACGGTTTACACATTGATTACGCATTTAAAATTTTAATACAATACTTTTAATGAAAAACGTGAATCGAAAAGTAGTTCTAGGTTAGATTATGTCTTTATTACAAACTAATATTAAAACCTCTTTTTGGTTCTTACCTGGAGCACATTTAGTCATGATAGTGAAGAATAGCCATGATCCAAACTCGTAGGTGTAGTTAGGACAGGACACATAGTTGAAAAGAAGAGAGAAGGGGTTGCCATCGGGAACAGGGATGCGCCTCACTTTAGTACCGGGAGGTCTCAAATTCTTCAAAAGCAAGTGGATGCTCAGGTTACCCAGCTCACAGAACTGAAAATTAAAATTAAGATATTGTTACCCATGTTCTTTGTTCATCTTTGTTCATTGTTACCCAATTTGTATTTTTTTTTTTTTGTTATTGGCTATTTGACATGTTACTGTTGGCCAATGTGTCGCGGGGCGTTCCCGCACGCACAACACTGTGTTATCCACAAATTATTGTTCCTAGTCTTGGTGTGTTGTGTACATGAATTGATGTTTGCACCCACAACACAGGAGAAAATACTAGTAAAGTATGTTTAAAATAAAACTATTTCAGAGGCTAAAAATCTCAATTAAAGTTAGGAAGGAGTCTACATATATGTCCAAGAAATACTTATGACTGAAGGTACCTGTATAACCAATTTACCTACATGAATAAAATATGCTGTATTGAATCAATAGATTATGCAACTGTCATAGCTGTCAAGCAATTACATAAAGAGAACTAAGTAACTATGTACATTTTAAACCTTTTGCTTATAAATACGATAATTATAGCATATTATCTACTTCATAACATTGATTATTTGCAGTCAACTTTTTCCAAGTGAGGTCTGAATAGTGACAAACTAATTTTGATACACAATAATTATGATAAACTTTTGAATCATTGCAATAAATTTATTTAAAAAGAACTTTTAAAGGTAGGTAGGTAAAGTAAATATAAACAATTTCAGTTACAATAAATATAATACAGATAAGCACATAAAATGTATAAGATAACTGTAAGTGAAGTAACTGTATGTTATTAACATTTTTTAATTATAAAAAAATGCATGTGTTTTTAACATTTTCAATGTAATGGACTTTGAACCTTTACAAGGTTAAAAATTGTATTCAGAATGAGTGGGTAAACAAAATATATGCCACAGAGTACTACCTGCTTTTTTGTGGTGTTTTTATAGTGAGGAAACATGGGTATTCAATTATTGCCTACTAAAATAAGTAAATACATTTGATTTCTTTGATTCAGTCCTTCCTTTATGAATAAAATATCAGTTAGAAGTACAAGTCATTGTAGCATAAACTTATTTATACACTTAACAAATTCAGAGTATTTTTTTGCATATTTTTAGTCTGTTAATTATATTATTTTAATATTCAACAAGACTACTGTCCATAGCCATGAAGGTTGCATATTTGTGTTGTACCTGAAAATGAAGAAATTTAAAAATAATTTGGTACTTACAATAAATCCGACAAGTCCAATGTAATAGCAGGTGTTGCAGGGAGCGGTGTATAGAGGGTGGTTGATGTGGTATGCCACATACAGGGTGAATAGCCAGTAGTAGGAGCAGTTCCTGAACAAGTTCCGCAGGGGCATAGTACCATGAGAGAAACGATGAACAAAGAGGGTCTCTAGCAACCTCTTGCCATAGTGGAAGGACCAGCATGCAGTTGCCACTCTGAAATTCCAAATTATTATTGTATCAGTTATCTACTTAGAAATCTGTGGTCACATCAAAATGTTACCTTTACTTTTAATAAAAATTGGTTTTCCATAAAATAACTGCTACCTACATTTTTTTATTGATACATAGGATTGTATTTTATAATCGTCATCCATCCAAGTATAAAGACTATGAAATTAGATTCTTTTAATTCTTAAAATTACCTTGTATTCCATTTTGCTAATTTCAACACTTTAATATAAAAAACATTTAAACCTTAAGTGAAAGAAGTTATATTAAGTACTCACGTAGCCACTGTCCCTGGTGCCAATGTAGATTCACCATAGAGCATCCAAGGCCTTTGGTAAACCCATAGATAAATAAATAATGGGCCAGCATACTCAGCAAGAAACACATTCTTCCAGGAAATCTGTGGTCCTAGATCCTTGACATACAACTTAGAACCTTCTTGGATATTCAGAGACTTTAGTGTTTCTTCATCTTTCAATGATTTTCCTTTAGCTTCTAATTTAATAGCTTGCCGGTCGGGGTGCAAAGATCTTTTGACGGTCTGGTAAATCTTATCTTTCACATTTTTTATAGTAGTACTTTCATTGACTACTATTTTTCCCAAAGGCTTAGATCCAGAAGCGTTCAAGATCTCAATCTATAAAATAAGAATATTTACATAGTATTAAACCGGTTCAGCCGCACGCAGTTATTTTCTAATTTTCAAGTCTCTTACCTCCATCTCGTTACTTGCGAGTGTACTGTTAGATTTGAGTTGCTTTTATTTATTTGTAACAGAAACACAGAATTCCTGACTTACTCGCTTTTAAATAACTTTTTTAAATGCAGCTAAGCCGCAAAGTGGAGAAAAGAACAAATAAATGCTCAAATATTCCAATTCTCAACAAAATTTCACATTGACTGATTCTGATTGACCGTCAGTGACCGACCAAAGAGTATGTAACCACTACGTTTAGTGACCGACCAACGAACGAAACGAATCGAATCGAAGATCGAAATCGAAGTAATTGAACGAATGAGATCACTTGTTGTCATCCTCTTGACTGTAGACGTCATTGCCACAGACGAATGGAAAATGTCACGTCATTCGCTGGCTCTTGAATTTAGCATAACGGCTTTTAGTCAACAGTTTTAAAATTTCGTTCAGAGTTTTGGTAAATTTCCATTTTTTATTTAATTTTAAACAAATCATCCAATTTATATTGGGGAAAAAATTAAAACCCCAAAAAATGTATTGCATAGTTATTTAAAGACATTGCTTTAAATTGAACGTAGTATTTTATTTGATGTTGGTATAATTTCTCTGTGTGTGTTTCACTGTAGGAACATTGAACAGTATTGCAAATTTTATTATTGTGAGCTATAACGTTGACGGTGTGTGAGTTAATAATTAAAATGGCGAATTGAGAACTGTATTCTTGAGTGTTTTGTAATAATTCTCTGAAATATTGATAGAAGACTTGAAAAAGTCGTTTTTATACACAGTGTTACTTATTGAGCTAACTTTAACATGCGTTCGGTAGTAGAAATTGGGGCGAGTGTGCCTGCTTTTCTAGGAAAATTATGGAAACTGGTGAATGATACGGAGACGAATCATCTGATTTCTTGGAGCCCTGTATGTATTTTTTGTTTTATTTCGTACGTAAAAATAGCCTTGTTTATGTTATTATTATGTTACAAGACTTTACGGCATTATACTAGCAGTAAACCTATTAGAAAGTCATTACGAAAACAACCTAAAAATGTTGCAAGTTGACAGACTGCCTGTGAAACTTGATAAATAAATAAATAGTTACAGGTCACGTTTTGTACCATGCTCTCGGCCCCTGACGAGAATTAATAGGCAATGGCTTATTTTTTCGATAAAGCAAAGATATTAGTCCATTGTTGAAAACGTTTCCCTTTCAGATGTTATTGATTATGGATAGGATGTTTGTCTTTTTATGTATTACGTATATTAAGTAGTTAGATAGTATGGAAGGATGTTAAGTTTGTCATTACACTTCCAGCTGCCAAATTAAAATGATTTCAATTTAATTAGAGTTTTTTATATGATGAAAGTTTAGCTTGCAAATTGCTTTAAAAACAATTTTAGATTTCTTAGGAACATAACTAGTACTTGGAAATTGAACCTTGGCCAGCCAGGTCACGACAGTATTAAATGAAAGTTTGTTAATGCATGGTATGTAATGTAGTAGGCACTGTAAACAATCAATGCATTGTGTGTGCCTGTTCAATCTGCAGTGTAATATCAATGTAGGTCTTATCTTCAATCAGTTATGTCTGTTACAGAATCAATTACTAAACCAACATCAAATAGTGACTCATCATTGCCTCCTGTTATCATTTTATCTTATGAGATGAGTTATAATGTTTATTATTTACAGGGTGGGAAAACATTTGTTATAAAAAACCAGGCAGATTTTGCAAGGGAGCTTCTTCCTTTGTACTACAAACATAACAATATGGCGAGCTTCATTAGGCAATTGAATATGTACGGATTTCATAAAATAACTTCCGTGGAAAATGGTGGTTTGCGATATGAAAAAGATGAAATTGAATTTTCTCACCCCTGCTTTATGAAAGGTCATGCATATTTATTGGAACACATAAAACGGAAAATTGCCAATCCAAAATCACTTGTTGCTAGCAATGAAAATGGTGAAAAAGTTCTTATGAAGCCAGAAATAATGAACAAAGTGCTATCTGATGTAAAACAAATGAAAGGCAAACAAGAGTCTCTTGATGCTAAATTCAGTGCAATGAAGCAGGAAAATGAAGCTTTATGGAGAGAAGTGGCAATTTTGAGGCAAAAACACATTAAACAGCAGCAAATTGTAAACAATGTCAGTATAATACATTATGTAATATTCAGCAATAACCAGTTGACATAACAAACAACAGATTAGTAATTTCTTATCATGTTTTAGCTTATCCAATTCCTGATGTCACTTGTACAACCACCTAGAGCATCTCCTCAAACTAAGAATGCTTGTGGTGTAAAGAGGCCCTACCAGTTGATGATAAACAATGCTGCGCATAACTCTGCAACAGATTCTTCTTACCCAGGAAAACTAAAGAACTTGAAACTAGACAAAGAAAGTATAATGGATGAATTGAGTGAAGATAATCTAGTATGTATTTCTTTATAAGTTTTATTTTTATTATCACCTGTACTGGTTTGATTTTAGTTATGTTTGTTTAATGATGTAACTTTTCTTTACAGGAGGATGGACCCACTATTCATGAATTGGCACATGATGACATGTTACACAATGATGGCACCCAGGACTCAATAAATGAATCAGATTTTATTACTGTTGATATGCCTAATATGTCCAATGCTATGAATAGCCACAGCCCAACTGATCCTTCTACATCCATTTATCATGTCACTATGGAAGATGGGGATGATGCAGATGCAGGTGCTACTTATTCTTTATTCAAAATACCTAATTAGAATCTGTCACATGAAACTGTTATTTATATTCAAGTGTTATTCCAGGTGTGACCCGGTTAGTATACCCAGTAACCCCAAGAAATGGTATGCAGAGGGCAAATGACACCATACCAATCATAACATCCGCTTCACCAACATCAGTCACTCCAGTAATAAACCAACCAACAACAGCTGAAGCAGCTGTGAGCAATGCGATGGGATCACCACATATTGTTGTTAAAATTGAAGGACAAGTGCCATCGAAATCAAAAGGTCGCAACCAATCTGTCAACAAGGGTGCTACAACATCAACTGGAAAAACGATTCTTACTGGAAATTACAACTCATTGAATCCATCAGCTGATCTGAAACTCCCAGCAGAAATTTTTGCAAGTGATGATTCTGTCAGTGATACTGGAGCTACTGCTGCTGATGACATAAGCATGCAAAATGCATTGCAAGATCTAGTGGATGAGTCTCTTTTACCAGCATCTAAAGACAAAATGCTAGGTGGCATAAACATTAAGATAGAAGGGGCTGGAGAAACATCAAACTCTAACAAAAAATCAAAGAAGGGCACCAAAAGCAATGAGAACACATTGAATCTTGCTGACATCAAAACTGAACTCCAGGATGATTTTGATTGGAACACCATGACCTTAGCTACTGTAAACAACAATACTAACAAATTCCAGACAAGGTATGTTATTTTACTTCAATATAGTATTTTTTTTATTACATGTACACTTGGACATCTAAACAAAAAAATATAATAAAACATAAGAATATGTGAATAAATACCTACCCAATTATTTTTGTATATTTACACCATTGCAATGGTTGGCAAAGTTACTTGTGACCAGTTTTCATGTGTATAATTTGAATGTGATTTCGGTACTCAGGAATAGGAGAGATAACCTCAGCAAAAATCGGGAGGAATATTCTTCCCTCTATGGAACAAATTCAAACAAGTATGTGATTATATATGATAATAACTCTAAATTGTCAAGTTGCAGATATGGCCTTGTATAAATATTTATTAAATGTTTTTTTATTGTCTTATTTATAAATCTAATGTCAAACACTTTGATAAGTATCTATATTAGACAGTCACTTGCAAAATTAAAGCTTTGCTAATTTTGTCACTGATGCATAATTTAATATGATGACTCATATTGCTTTATGGGGGAAAATGGAATTTAAAATCATGTAGGAGCTTAAAATTATAATTTATGCCATTAAAACTGCTGTATCATTAAAATTTTAAAATGAAAACAATTATATTGTATGCTTGTTTCTCAAACATACATTGATGGATATAGATATTAAGTTTTTGTCTTATCACTAATTATTCTGGATTTTGTTTCTTTTTATATAAACTAGTTAAGTAATAGTAATTTATTTTATAAATGTTCCAGGAATGATATTGATGACCATTTGGATGCAATGCAGACAGACCTTGAATCTTTAAGAGAGCTACTGCGAAGCGATAGCTATACATTTGACACCAACACATTATTGGGGGTATGTAATCATTAATTATACACTGGAAAAAACTTACGTTAATTTATTCATGCTAAAACAAGTATCTCAGGTACTAAAAAGTAATACCCATAATTTAGCCCATTCATTCTGTATCACAAAGGTTGAACAAAATGGTTAAATCATATTTTATTCGCTTTTTTGTCTTATGAATTACTTATTATAATTAAATTCATAGCACTTTTGAGATACAGATTTAGTAATATACTGATTAAAACATTAAAATACTTTGTTTATTGTGAATGTGTCCATTGGTATCATAACACACACATCTACAGCTCCAATCTACAGCGCGCTGTAAACATTGATATTTGAGGCCGTCAGGTTGGTAGCGCCGTCGAAGTCACGTTGCGGGCAACGTGTTGGAACCGCGTGCGGAGCCGTGTGCGGTACTTGGTCACAGACGTTCCTTCTCACTCACACAGATATACCTGTCTGCGTATTAGAAACCGGCTCGCATACTTACGATTCACAGTTTATATAATGTTGTTATGATTGTTTTTTCAATAGTAATGCTCCTTTTGAGTTCTAATTTTAGATAGGGTTTATTTTTTAAGAAAACTTGTGTTTTTCACTGAACATCAATTTAGGAAAAGTGAATAAAATTATTTTTGTATTGTCCATAGACTCCAGATGCAAGAGAATTACCTTCGATGTCTCTCGCTATTCCTTCCTGTCAGCCCACAACAAATAATTATGTAAAAATTATATAATACAGCAGGACTAATAGATGCTAGATAAAATATGTTTTATGGATATCAATATTATTGACTTATAATGAGTCGCTTTCATTATAGTCCTAGAAGTAATTGATTTTTGATAGTGTACGCATAACTAACGCTTATCGCATTAGTTAATTTCGTATGTGTAAATAAACAACTAGAGCAATTTTCAAAATTTTTAAAGACAATACATATTTGATACATGTATCCATCATTTTATCTCGTATTATCATTGTCATTGTAATCATTGGTATTTTGTTTTCGTAGATAGAAAATGATAATAAATGTTATTGTTATTGCTATTACAGCTATTTGGTTCCGATGATCCATTCTACGGGCTGCCATATAACTCGATGGATGACAGGGCGAAAACTACCAACAATGGTGAGTTACTACAAACTCCTTAATTATTTTTGTTCCGTATGTAATTTCTTGAATACATACTAATGTCCAAAGGAAGCAGATTTGGCTAGACCAACGGTATTACAAAGGTTGCTATTTCACTCATGACGCATTATCCCTAGCACTACCGAACATGAGGTAATTCTTTCGCTTACTCAACCACACACATACATATTAAAAGAGCTTGTAGGAACCAGTAGGGCAGAGTTAAAAACTTGTGTCCAAGGTGTATGCTATCTTGGTGACTATCATTATAAATATTATTAAGAGCATATACCTACCTACAAAATCATTCAAACCGAACGCACACGCACGACTCATCAAAATCATTACGATCTAAAGGCCAATCCATATCTGCATGTGTTTTCAGAGTTATATTTCACGTTTATATTAATTGTAGATACAACCAAACAGTATCCGATGATTGATTTTGATTGGCTGATCGGTAACAGCGAGGCCTCCTCTACAAAGTAGCCTGTTGCTACCTCATCTTGCAAGATTAATTCAACGCTGACCGCGTCTGGGCCACATGACGTGGTGGATGTTATTGGTAAAGGGTTAATATAGTCGTGGCGGTGCCGGTCAGTGCTACAGAAGTTAGGTAGATTGTGTCGCGACAAAACTGACTCTGTCTCTAACTACCATGTCAACCAGTATGTCATACATGTCAGAAGCGCAATTGTGTAAAGCAGTTGTATTGTAAATATCATATCAATTATATTTTGTGAATAGCATTTTGTTATAAATATTTTGGAGATTTTATCTTTGAAAAAGATATTTTTACGTATATATTTAATGGGTTCTTACAAACACAATTAACCAATATCGCTAAGTGATTTTATATTTAATATTTAAGGATATCATTTTTGCCGCGACATCTTATAAAGACAGTGTTTGCTGTGAAATTAATGTATGTCTTTATGCTCTAGAATCATGTTAATGTAAGGCACAATAGTAATAAATGTTATGTGTTAACTGTAATTATATTTTATTGTTAATTAAAGCAAAGAAGCAGAAAGGTGAGATATCGAATGTAAGCAGTGACGACACTCGCGTCCCGCACCTGTTTACTGAGGACAATGGTAGTAATTAAGTTCTCGTATATCTAACGCAAAAGTAGAATTTAAAAATATAATTTGCACGAACAATATTGTAGATTTCATTTTGATTTACATTCTGATTTCTGTAAAATTGAAACCGATGATTCAATAAGCCCCACTTTTTGTTCAATACATTTTAGCGCTTATTTTTTTCCAGAGTCAATTATGTTTTAATTGCCCATCATCGGTTAGTAAGCGTTACGTTAGTATTATGTTGTTATATCACCTGATAAAGCATATTATAGTATTTACTTTAATTAATTTTAAAATACTAAGCGCTTAGAATGTAAATTCTCTAAACCTGCATTTTATAGCGTTTATCTTTTATGTTCCATTCTGTTTACCAATATTGGGCGTGGGTTGTATGTATAGCGTACGTAGTGGTTATTTAATTTAAGGCGTTTCGTTATAGGTACCTATGATATAGCTCTCAAACGTATACGTACCTATTGCTATAGACAAATAATTGAATTGGCAATTTATTATGTTTATGTACCACATAGCTATATTTTGATTGCTTTTCAAGTATTTGCATGGTTGAATATGACATTGTTTTATTTTTACATTTATACAGTTACTATAATATATTATTATTGATTAAGTATATAGATTTCTCTAGCATTATAGAGTATTTTTAATATTAGTATGTAGTTAACTGCAGTCGGCTTTATTGATAATCAAATTATTAATAATATTTTTTTGGGCAACTTTCAGTTGAAGGCAATCAGCTAATCTCGTATACAGGGAATATTCCAGACTTTGAGGATATAAACATGCCAGATCTGGAGTGTGATAACTCTCAGGATCCGTGCGTGTCGTCCTCTCCCAGCAGTTCGACGCTGAACACGCCACAGATGCAGGTTCGTTCGCCTTCTTTTTCTCTGAAACCATGAGGAAAGCCTAAAAGACGACGGCACAAGAAGAAGCGCTCGTCTAGCAAGTGAACGTTTTAGTACATCACTTTGATAATACATCGCGTGGACTGAGTTCTATAACTGATTAGTGTAGTCTAAACATGTAACTGAGGAAGAATACGAAACAAGTAATTTATAAAATTACTTATAGTCCAGTTTTTGTTGATTGAGTTGTCAAAAGTAATTAACTTTCATTTGCTGTATCTTTTCCATACTTATAGTACCTATAAAGCAATGATTTCCATTACCAATTTCAAATGTTGATAACATGATTTTAAGTTTTGAAAAATAATCTAATGCAGAATTTAACCAAAAATACTAGGTAGGTGTAAGCTCTTATTCTTTTGTCTATTTAATATTTTCCACCCAGTGCAATAACGAGTTGCGAGCAAAAGCTAATGTTACATATATACTGTAGTAGCCGCATATTTATTAAGGTATCGAGCTTCAAAGTCTATTTCTTTTGTCATAAATGATATCAGTGTAATATATTCACAGTACATACAAATATATTTTTTATAAAAATTGACTAATGAGAAATTTGTGATTACTTGTATAAGCTCGCATGATGAACAATAAATAAAATAATTTGTTTTGTTTGTAGTAGATAAACTTTTGTATATGACCACTTTGTAAAGTAATATAATAGTGATAACATGTAAGTATGTTTATCGAGTGACTGAGGTTCTTTGCACTTTAAAATAATTAATAAGACAAAGTTAATGGAAGTCGTCCCAAACTAAAATATGGATAAACAGCATGCGTTTGTCGCTATAATTGCTTGGTGCCTTATGAAGGATAATAGTTACAGTGATTTAAATTGAAATATAAACAACACCATGGCATAGATTTTGTTCGAATATTATGTAGGTAATAGAAAATACCATAAGAGTGATATAAATTTTGTTTGACAAAACTTAATTAAATGGATCTCAGATGGTGATATGGATGTCCTATAGAATTGAGGTCAAGGCGTACTGTACCGACTTTGTTACACCTCGACGATTAACATATTTCTATTTGGTCATTAACTTATATCTAGGACGACAGAACATCACAAAATGCTAGACGCCGCCTTCCTTACTGTTAGTCTTATATCTTTGTATGTATCTTTCTTCTTATTTACTCAGAGCATAACAATGCTATATAAATGGAGCCATTATAAAAACTCTCAGGTAATTAAGCGAATTGTGAGATTTCACCTCGCGGTTTAGTTAGTTTCTTAGCAATTAGTACTTATTAGCTTAAACTCGGACCAAAGCTGCGATTTATAGAGGCCCGTACAGTATGTCATGATCTTTAAACTCATATTTAGAGGTGACTAAAAAGTTTAATCAACTTAAGCTACAAAATTATCAACTTATTTCGATGTGTCGTCGATGTATCACAACTTTTACTTTTTATTGTGCCTGCATAGGTAGGTACTGCTAGGTAATCACACTAAAATGTGTTTATTTATTTTGGTGCAAAAAAACCAATTTTTGTTTATATTGTATCTAATTTAAATAGCAGTATGACTGCCTTTGTTGAAATTTGCACAGGGATATTTAAAAAATATTTACCAAAATTTATGTAAAAAAGATTTAAGAATAATTCGCTCATTTGTACTATAGAAAATGTTAATTCGTCATTGTTGACAGGTTATATACTTTGTGTATATAAGATATAAGTATATAATCATTATAATTATTATAATGTTATGTAAGTCTTAATTTTAGAGTGTTATCAACCCTAACGCAATCGTCATCAGCAAATTAGAAAGTATTATAATAAACTTGCATTTCCTCATTTTTTCTCGCATAAAAATATGTATTTTGTATTTATAAAAGCCTATTTCGAAAAGTAATTGTAAATCTGTATAGATAGCAGAGATGCTTCAAGAATTTGTAACTTCAAATGGAATCCTGTTACCCATTCCGTCACTGTAACTAAGCCCTTTTGCATATAAATAAGTAATGCTACTTAGGTGTACACTGCAGAACTACATAAATATATTTACAAAATAATTTTATTATAGAACTGGTATATACAACCACAATAGATTTAGCAATTATTTTTAACTACAGCCATTGTATTATAACATTAAAATATGTTTATGAACAAATTCTGGTAAGATTAAGGTAAATCAAGTATGTAAGAATACATTATCTATGTTTAATATAAGTTATTTTTAAATTCAATGTAATAAAATATTGAAATTTATACTTTTTGTTGTTATTTTGTACCAACTGACGGTCCCAGCGTCGCACGAGTGAATTCCTATGTTATATTTTGTTAATGTTAGAACATCTTCTCAAAATTGGTTCAAGAGTTAAAGAGCTTTGAGGGATTAAAACTAACAACGTATTTGCGAATTAAATAATGTAATGTAAACTAGTCTGTTATAATAAGAATTTAAAAGCAGTTAATATTTAAAACCTTTATTGCAACATAGGTATTTTTATAATTTGTACTTAATTTATAGTGTTATCACAGCTGACATAATTACATAGTCCTGTTTCAGGAAATCGAAATTTTAATTTCAATACAATAGAACAGGTACACACCGGTTAAAATAAATTATATATTTTTAGATTACAAATAAAACAATGTTTATAATTTAATTTATGAGGGCTACACCAATAAACATTTTAAAATAACTATATAATAAATCTCTCATTTACACTCGTTTAAGGGATACATTCAAAGCCATGTTTATTTCTGTACATAATGGATGAAATGACTTGTCGCCGTCGCGTCGGCCTCTACCTTGGCCTTGAAGCCGTCACAGATAGTAAAAGTAATTCTACAAGTAATTACGTTTTAACTAGATGACTATGTACCTAAAGAAAAGGGTTAATTATTAAGCTTTTGTAACGGTTTTAGTTACTTCCTATTTTCTATAACTACCGTATTTGACTGGAAATGTATATAATGACTGCCATAAATAGGTTTTTGTTTCGGTGCTACGGAAAGCGGTATGCGGATGGAAAGTCATACTAGTAGAGGTAGCTTGCCAATATTTATGTTTCAATAATCAGCCTGGCCTTACATTTGCAAAATATAGGTAGTACTATTACCATTCTATGGTTTTTTACACTTTTAATGCAAGCGTAATTTTCTCATCAAAGCCGGTAAAAACGCTGGAGCAGGAGCTCTGTTCTTTTTACCATCTTCTATGTAGGGTCCTGGTTTAGACATTAATACTGTATGCAGAGACGGTAATGAGCCGATAGAACATGCTAGTTCGGGTGACATGTGGCGACATCCTTGCACATCCAGAAACTGAAGCTTACTGCAGTATGCTCTTACAGCTTCTAAAGTCTTGTCACTCAACTGATTGCAACCCTGGAAAATTTATAGGTAAGTGTTATACTTATGTGCTAATATTTAAAGGTCTGAGGCTACACCAATGAAAATTATATATTTAATTTCGGGGACACGGGAGTCGACGAAAAATAAGCTACATTGAGAGTTTCATAATCGATCTGGGCCTTTATATTCCAAAAATCACGACCAACAAGAAAATTTAAAGTCGTTGAAAAGCAAGCTGATTATCAACTTACCCTTAGTTCCAGGTGCTTCAATCTTTGTAAGTTTTTGACTATTTCTTGCACAGCCTCATCATTTAAGTTATAACAATCTATCAGGTTAATATATTCAATACTGGGGCAGTTTTTGACTAAATGTTCTATTCCCTCATGAGTGATCTGCTGGCATCTGCTTAAGTTTAGATTAATAAGTTCTTTGAAATTAAAAGCATAGGTTAAGCTCACATCAGTGATTCTATTGCACCCACTTATATCCAATTCTTTAAGGCTCCTCAGGCGAGCTAGTGAGTAGCCTGTGTATGAATCCATTGACAATTTTTCACACATGAGCATGACATCTCTTTTTCGTTTAGCATCTCTCACTATTTCTTCTTCTGCTCTTGATCCTAAATGGATTTTAGGTGACATGTGTGATTCATCAATATTCGACATTATTGGACCATCTTCACCTTCCTTTGTTTCGACTTTCCCCATACCAGTTAATCCAGCATCAGATACTTTATCACAATGACTCAGTTTTAAGACATTTAGGAGCAATTGATTCTTAAATATGACTTGTACTGAAGTATCAGTTACAGCATTGAAGCAGTAGCTCAAGTTCAGCACACGTAAATTAGGAAGCCTTTCAGAGATCATGATAACTCCAGTCTGATCTATATTCAATGAGTTAATATCCAGTTCCTCGAGACTATGATTTTCTCCAGCACAAATACCCTTTTCGAGACCATCTTTAGTGAGCAGCTCGCATTGTGATATATTTAAAGACCTTAATTTCTTTAATTTGTTTAGTTCTGCTATTCCCAGATCAGTCACTGCTCGACATCTTTGTATGTTAAGGCATTCCAGGTTGACTAGATTCTTACATATATGTACAAGTGATTGGTCAGTTACTCGTGTGCACAGTCCGATGTCAAGCTCTTTCAGAGATGTTTGATAACTTGTCAGAGATAGTATGCCAGTGTTAGTCAGCTGATCACAGGAATGTACTTGCAATGCGCTTAACTCTAGACCTTTTATTTCTGACAGAGACTTGAGTGCTGCTCCATCAATCAGAGTACAAGAAAAATGCAAACGCTTAATATTTTTGGCTCTACTTATAATAAGCTGCAGTATAAAATAAAATGTCAACACACTTTCTGAAGGGTTTTGAAATATATCTGTACCAGCAGGGTAAAACTTTTTAACTAACCCTGCATGGAACTGCAATGAGCATGCAGACAAGTCTAACTCTTCTAATGCTGGTGCAGCTGATGAAAATCTATTGAACAGTGCATCTGTGAGGTACTGATTTCCTGACAAGCTCAAAGATTTTAAATTTTCTAGATTTTCAGTCAGAAAACCTTCACTCTTCCCTTCTAATAGACGTCCAGACATAAAGAGGTCTTTGCAGTTCTGTATATTTAATGTTTCTAGATTTGTACACTTTTGAAGTATGTGAACAAATACTTTTTCACAAACATCACAGTTCCTTAGTGTTAAACATTGTATGTGTTCGCCAAGTTTGTTCCAGAATTCATTTTGTTTACTTGATATTTCCACTTCATTGAATAAATAGTTGTAATATGTGATAGGCGAGTCTTCAAATATTTGAAGTGGTGAAGGCGATTCTTCATTGAATATTGTTTTATAAAATATAGCAACTTTGTTCTTCAGAAAGCACTGATCATTAGCAGCTAAATACCACGAGCGACATGTCTCACTGGCTGCTTTTCTATCAGATTTGGGTAAGTACTTGAATAGATAAACTAACACCTGAAAGTTGTGTAATATAACATAAATGATTATAAAATTCAGAAGCAAAACAATTATATCAATTTCTTTTTTAATAAAAGTAATGGAATAAGTCATTTCAAAGTACTGAGTAATATTTGGACGCACTGCTACACATAAAAATATCTTTACGTGATTGATAAATCACGTGAAAAAATCGATCTTAGATCAAACAAAGAAAATCTTACAGGAGTTAACAAATGCGGAAGTATACTACAGATATTCCATAAAATTATATAAATTAATGATATACACACCTCGAATGGTAGCTCCATATCCGATTTAAATAATCTCAAGCTAATTATAAAATGTTTAAAGGGTTTTTTTTATTTTAACATTTGTTATTTTTTTTTTTTTTTTCCTCTTTATGGCAACCGAGTCTCCAATTTAATGTTGTCGACTATACTGCCAGTGTCAAGTAGTGACGGCAGATTATGGGCCCGTCGAACTTTAACTTTGTGGTAGTTTGTTGTTAGTAGCTGAAAGGACAACACATGGGTTAGTAAAACTATAGCTACCTATCCTAAACTATTCTATTTTAATATTATACTAAAGACAAATGAGGGGACATACATAACTGACATATACTTAAATATATATATATATATACAATATTTATTATTTAGTATTCCACACCTTTACAGTTTTATATCATTTTCATTAATAAATTTAGATAGACATCTTATTAGTTTATTGGAAAAGTGAGTTAAGAGGGAGTGAAAATTGATGGGAAGGGGGATTTGAATATTGGGGAGTTTTTTGTAGAGATCAAAGGATTGGGAGTTTAAGGGACAAGAAAAGAAGATATGGTCCAAAGTACCCTCATCCAGACCGCATTCACACAGCGAGCTGTCACGAACGCGGATTTTTTTGAGGAAGACCGGACTGCTGCAATGACCAAGTCTGAGTCTGCACAAAGTTGTAACAGTGTGTCGGGGGAGTTTGATATATCTGCAAAACCAAGGTTTCCGCTGGATGTCAGGCTGGATATTGGCATAATAGGCACCTTTCCGTTTGGAAGAGTCCACCCACACTGCAGCCCAAGATTTGAATAGCTTGTGTTTTGTATCCGCTCGTATATCATACCCGTACACAACGTTATGTTGGTTTTCCACAATGTTGGAGGCCGCAAACTTTGCCAACTTATCCGCACATTCATTACCACATATGCCAGAGTGACCAGGTATCCAAGCGATTTCTATTTTTAAGCCATCTTCATGACACGCAAAAAGTAGAGATTTTATTTCTACAATTAAGCTACTATAGGTTCTGGAGTGAAGCTGGTCTTGGCCAAGAGCTTGCAGACTGCTTCTAGAGTCCGAGAAGATGACCGAATTTCTCAGGTTGTGAGCTCTGATAAATTTTATGGACTCCAGAATAGCAGCACATTCACCAGTAAACACAGAAGCCTCCGAGGGATATTTGGCTAACAAAGCGATCCTTGAGTTCTGATAATATGCTGCTACTCCAGTGCATCCTTCAGGAGTCAGTTTAGAAGCATCTGTGTAGAACAAATTCCAGCCACTCCAGAAATTGCTCAGTGCGCATTTAAATTTTTCATTAGCGTTCACTGATGCTTTTGCAATGCCTAGTTCTAGGACAACGCTTGGCCTGAAGTGGATAACATCATATGCAGAAGAAAAGACCGGAAGTACAGGATATTGACTGATGGGTGCAGAGAGGTTTTTAAGTTCTCTGTACCTAACAATCACAGGAGGGACAGGCTTATTGTTCCAGTACGGAGAGGAATTATAGGAGCAGTGGATCTGATCCAAGATCGGAAGTAAGGGATGCGATGAAAGGGAAAGGACTTTCGAAACGAAACGGTCTGCTAGGTATTGTCTCCGAAGGTCGAGGGGGGGCTCTGCACATTCGACCTGAAGAGCATTTATAGGGGACGACTTCATAGCTCCAATAATTATTCTAAGGCATTTGGCCTGAATGGAATCAAGTTTTTTAAAAGCTTCCTTATTGCAAGGTGCCATAAGGAAGCAGCAATAATCCATTACGCTTCTGACCAATGCATTATATATGAGCTTTAATGTATAGGGGTTGGCACCCCACCATACTCCAGCCAGTGCTCTGAGTACAGCTATTGACCGTTCACACCTTGTGACAACGGCGTCTACGTGATCCAACCCCGACATCCTACAGTCGAGAATCACACCTAGAAATCTAGCCTTGTTGCTGATCGGAATTGCCTGACCGTCTATTTCTATGCGGATATCTGGATACCGTCGTCTACGCGTAAAAATTACAGCCGAGCTTTTTGGGGCGCTTAAACATAACCCATGATTAAGTAGCCACTGGTTTAATGAGGACAAAGAGACATTCATGGAGCGGGCGGCGTCCGTTATAGAGCTGTTGGTGATCATTAGTGCGATATCGTCAGCGTATTGTAGGATATTGCAGTCATAATTTAAACAGGAAGGAAGGTCATGGGTGTAAATATTAAAGAGGATGGGACTAAGGACTGACCCCTGGGGTAATCCCTTCCAGGCAGTTCTCTGTACTGGACTATCCCCAGGAGTCCTTAATTGGAGGGTACGGTTGGAGAGGATATGGCTTATAATCTGGCAAATCCTACTCGGGATTCTCAGCTTTTGCAGCTTTTGCCTGAGAAGGGGTAGGAGAACCGAGTCATAAGCAGCTGAGACATCCAAGAAGACCGCAACCAACGACTCTCCCCTGCTAAGGGCCAGTCGGATGGCCGATGTGAGGGTGCCCACACTATCCGCCGTACCCAAGCCCTTTCTAAAGCCGAATTGAGTCGCCGGCAGCAGTCC